TATACATCATCATCATTATTATCATGTGAGATAACCCAGATAACCGATACCCAAATATATACACCATATATTATTATTGGATCCATAATATCATTGAGCGGTATTATAATGATAATTGTTTTTATGTTTAAACGTTATATACCCCGACATAGTTATAGTAAAGGAAAATCTAATAATAATAATAATAACAAAAATTTTGTAAAATAATTTTATCAACAATTCATTCAACGATTAAAACATGATTTATTTCCCACAAAATGGATATTCAGTCAATTAGTCATAATATTTATCATGTATTTCCTAATCGATTCAATGGGCTATTCGTTTGTCGTCTATTTTCCTACATTTGTCCGCTTGTATGGCCTGAATGTTAGCCAACAAGTGGCAGCAATTATGACCACAGGTTTCGGTATAAGTTATACCGTATAACCATAGTTGTCAGTCAATTGGCCTGTATTGTTATAACTAAATACATGCGACCACAAACTGTACTACTAATATCGTTGGGCATAATGTCGATAGCCTACTGTATCTACCTGTGCACCAATCGGTTTTCGGTAATGTGGTTGGCCACTATATTGTATGGTATAGGTTATGCACCACTAGTAGGTTGTCTACATAGTCTAGTCGAACTGATTACACCTATCAACGATTCAATTGGTACTGTATTTACCCTGATTATGTGCGGGGTCAATCTACTAGTAGCATATATTTTTGGTACTTACCTGGAATCAGATCCCAGTGTATTTATCTATTTCAATTTGGCTATGATAGGTACATTAATTGTGCTACTTATAATGATTATTTATCTAGGTAATTGTGCTAAATTATCTAGAACAAATAATAATAATAATAATTTAACAATTGTTGATTATAATGTTGATAATGTTAATAATCAAGATGAAAACGATAATCAATTATAAATATGACAAAATTTACATAATAAATTATTTATTAATTTTTTTTTTTAAAACACCATATATATTTTTATTATTAAATTAACTTAATAAATTATTTTTTTTTTGATAAATTGTATTTGGCTAAATGTTATTTTTTGAATAATAATAATTACTGGATATAACAATTTTTAGTAGTATTACAGATAAAAAACAATGATTATTATTAAGAAAAATAATTTATTAAAAAATAAATTAATAAATTTAATAGTATTTTTCAGTACAAAATAATATAATGTTTAAATATTTATTGAAATTTGTTTAATTTATTAGACAATTATTAAATGACTATACTAAAATAAACAGTATATTTTTATATTAAATTAATTAATAACATAATAGTTTTTTTCTAATATATCAAGTTAAATATATATATATATATTATGGTATAGTATAGGTTAGTATGGTATAGGTTATGCACCACAAGTTTACAACGATTCAATTGGTACTGTATTTACCTTGATAATGTGCGGGGTCAATCTACTAGTACCATATATTTTTGGTACCTATCTGGAATCAGTACCCAGTGTATTTATCTATTTTAATCTAGCTACGATAGTAGTTACCATTGTACTGTTAGTAATGATAATTTATCTAGGTAATTGTGCTAAATTATCTATAAAAAATAGTAGTTGTAGTAATAATAATAATAATTTAACCATGGTCCCAACAACAATTGTTGATTATAATATAGTAGTTAATAATGTTGATGAAAATGATAATCAATTGTAAATATGATAAAAAAAATAATATATTTATTTATTAATTTTTTTATATATCATATATATTTTTATTATTAATTAACTTAATAAATTATTTTTTTTAAATGGTATTTTGCTAAATGTTATTTTTTTAATAATAATAATTACTGGATATAACATTTTTTTAGTAGTAGTAGTAGTAGTAGTAGTAAGTATTACAGATAAAAAAATAAAATAATAAATTTAATATTATTTTTTTTCAATAAAAAATAATCTAATGTTTAAAACAATTATTGATATTTATTCAATTTATTAGTCAATTGTTTGAATGACTATACTAAAAATAAACAGTATATTTTTATATTAAATAAATTAATAGCATAATAATTATTTCTAGTAGTGTTAAGTTAAATATCTATAACATTATTAATAAAAGTTATTAAACATTTTAGTAGTAAATTGTTGTTTTATAATAATAATAATAATACAAATAATATATTAATGATAAAAATATTTAATAATTTATTTTTAAATGAAAAAAATCTCTATTAAAAATCTCTTAAAATGTCTAATAGTAGTAATAATAATAATAGAAAAACTAATACAAAAATTGCTAAATATTTGATAACGTCAACAATTTTTCTATGTATTTTTGTTCAGGTTAATTAATTGATGATTTTATTTTTTTTAATTATTTTTAATATTATTAATTAAATTTTGATATTTTATTTTTTTTTGTTTTGTTTTAAATAAAACATTACTAGACGCTACCAGCTGTTATGTTTGGAGTGGCCATAAATGATCTGGCAACAATTTATCAAACTGATCTAGCTGGTATTTCACGTATAATACAATTAACGGCAATAACAACTATTGCTGGATCTTTGTGTAAATATTATTAATTTTATTAGATATTATTTAATCTAATATTTTGAATTTAATTATTATTATTATTAATTTTTATTTCAATAAACATTTTATTGTTTTATATAAGTCTTAAATTATTTTTTCTAATGTCTATTACAGAGGATCTCAAAAAATAATTTTATTTTATTATCATTTTCTTTTATTTTTTCAAATATAAAAAATATTTATTTATTTTTCTAGTAAATATTGTAGCAAGATCAGTTACAGTTTTATTAATTAATTAATTATTATAGTAATTATTATTTAATCTAACTATTTATCTAATATTTGAATTGTTGTTGTTGTTTTTTTTGTTTATAATTATTTTATTAGAAAAAAAATTTGTTAATTAATTAATTCAACTAAATTAAACACAACACAAATAAATTTACAAATAATTATAATTTTTTTGTTTGTTTTCATTAAAAAATATATAAACAGTAAATATTGTAGCAAGATCAATTAATAAACAATTATTATACAGTATATCTAATATTTTAATTTAATTATTATTATTATTATTCATTCACTAAAACATTTTATTGTTTTATATAAATTATTTTTTTAATGTCTATTACAGAGGATCTCAACAAAAAAAATTATTTTATTATTATTTTCTTTTAATTTTTTTCTAGTAAATATTGTAGCAAGATCAATTAACAAACAATTATTATACGGTATAATTTGTTTGATATGTGGCCTACTATGTGCACTGGTACCTAATCTATCGACACTAACCCAGTTGACAATAGTTATCGTATTTTCATCAATGCTAAATATCGGCTCCTATACACTGATTAACGTATGGATAGTCGAAATATGGGACCGACAGTGCGGACCCTATACGCAAGCATTGGGTGTTATGTCAAATTTGCCGATAATTTTTTCACCGATAATTATGAAACCATTTTTATCATCGATAGTTACTTCAATTGTATTAGATGATGACAATTGTACCAATGTCAACTATACTATTAATAATAATAATAATAATAATAATATGACCATGCTAATACCAAATAATTATACATTATCATCATCATCATTATCATCATGTGAGATAACCCAGATAACCGATACCCAAATATATACACCATATATTATTATTGGATCCATAATCTCATTGAGCGGTATTATAATGCTAATTGTATTTATGTTTAAACGTTATATACCCCGACATAGCTATAGTAAAGGAAAATCTAATAATAATAATAATAATAATAATAACAAAAATTTTGTACAAAATTTTTTTGAACAATTCATTCAACGGTTAAAACATGATTTATTTCCCACAAAATGGATATTCAGTCAATTAGTCATAATATTTATCATGTATTTCCTGATCGACTCAATTGGCTTTTCGTTTGAAATCTATTTTCCGACATTTGTCCGCTTGTATGGCCTGGAAGTTAGCCAACAAACGGCCGCAATTATGACCACTGGTTTCGGTATAGCCAAAGTGGTCAGCCAATTGACGTGTATTGTCTTAACTAGATATCTGCGACCACAAACAGTACTGTCCATAGCGTTGGCCATACTATCGGTAGCCTATATTGGCTACCTGTGTACCAATAGGTTTTCGGTAATCTGGTTGGCCACTATATTGTACGGTATAGGTTATGCACCGCAAATGGGCTGTCTGTATAGTCTGGTCGAACTGATTACACCAATCAACGATTCAATTGGTACTGTATTTACATTGATAATGTGCGGGGTCAATCTACTAGTAACATATATTTTTGGTAACTATCTTGAATCAGATCCCACTATATTTATCTATTTTAATCTAGCTATGATTGGTTCATTAATTGTTCTACTTATAATGATAATTTATCTAGGTAATTGTGCTAAATTATCTAGAATAAATACTACTACTAATATTAATAATAATTTAATCATGGTGCCTACAATAATAATTGTTGATAATGATGATGATAATAATAATAATAATTTAGATTGAAAAATTATGATAATCAATTGTAAATATTAGATTTAAAAAAAAACATTTTCATTTTAATAATTATTTTTTTTTATATTTAAAATAATTAAATTTTTAAAACTAAAAATTATGTTAACCTACAATTGAAAATTTATCTAATAGTTTTTACAATCATATATACTAATATAAACTATAACTTAGTTTTAAATTTATTCATTGTTTTTAAATAAATGTTTTTTTTAATAGTAAATTTTATTTAAAAAAATTTTATCCCTTCTAATAATAATAAATATTTAAAAAAAATAAATACTTTTTTATTTATTATAAATTATAAATTATTATTATTTTAAATGACAAACAAATACAAACTAACCAAGGTTCAAATTCAAATTTTGACAGTTGCCTAGGCAACCAGTTTGACAACAAACCATTTGATTGGTTTAAACATATATTAATATACAGTATATTAAACATAAAGTAAGTATTGAATTGTTTTGTTTTTTTTGTTGTTAAACATGTGTTTGATTTCAATGTTATTATTATTGTTATTAAGATAGCTATCGCTGGCCACTAGTCATACTCTCCCGCCGATAATAATAATGACGGACAGTGCCGGCAACTGCTTGGGTGGTATCTATAGCTTCAAACCGTTGACATTTGTGGCCATCGGCGGCGCCGGCGAAGGACATAACTGTAAGTCACGCGCGAAAACAGTGTTTGTCTTGTAAATCGAGTTTTTGACCATTTTTTTGTTGACCGCTAATCGGTTATACAGATAATGACGACGACCTGCATCAGCACAGACAATGGCCGCGACCACGTAGTGGACATCGGATGGTCAGTACGGACACTGATTGCTATGTGTTTGGCGGCTATAATCCCAATCTCGACTCGGATGACGAAGATATGATAGCCGACGACCATTTGTGGCGCCGATCGCGACCACTGTTTCGCGAATTGTGGCGCTATTCGTATCTGACGGCCAGTTGGTCGCGGGTCGAGCCGACCGGCGGTCGTCCGGCGCCACGTTATGTGGCCTCACATTGCGCTACACTTGTCGGCCAAACCTATATGTTTGTATACGGCGGTACTGGCTATCCGTTTGGTCACACATCCAGCAATAAACTCTATGCCTACGATCTAGCCGTCAATAGGTGGCAATCGGTGGCCGCCGTCGGCAACAAAGTGCAAGACAATTCGCATATTGATTGTCCGCAACCGCTGTACGGACAAGCGTTGACTGTTGACCAGCGAAACAATTCGCTATATGTTTGCGGCGGTACCACTGGATTTGATTACAAGATAGATGTCCACCGATTTGATCTAAGCACCCGCCGCTGGTATTGTCTGTATCGTAAACCCGGCCATAAAGTTGGCGACTTTCCCGTTGAACGCTATCGACACGAGATTGTCCACTATTCGGGTCGACTCTATGTGATTGGCGGCGGAACTTCGGAAGAGTGTTATTCGCTATCAATGGTAAGCAAAGAATAGATGACCTATTGATGTGATGTTTGTTTGTTTTTTTTAATTGATTTGAATCACAATTATTATTATTATTGTTAATTAGATCCCTGTGTTTGACATCGCGACCGGTAAATGGACTGAAGTACAAACCAAATGCGATCTGAATGTTATGAACGAACAGTTGAGTGGTTTCCCTGAAGCCCGTCGTTGTCACGGATGTGTCCGTCAGTTGTTTACCGATAACAACAGTGACGCCGACAACGACAACAACAACTGTATAGTCTATGTAATCGCCGGTATCGGTGACAACAACAATGTCTTTGACGATGTCTGGCGTCTGGATGTCCGTCAACTTCAATGGCAGCTTATGTCCTGTCGATTGCCTCGACGTCTATACTTTCATTCGGCTTCGGTATCGCCCGACGGCCGACTATCAGTGTTTGGCGGTGTAGTCGATGCCAATCATACCGAGCGTACAAACGAGTTGTTAACTGTATGGCTGCGCATACCGTCACTGAAGACTATATCGTTGGAAGCGATCTGTCATTATCTCCGTCGAAGTCAACCGCAATCGCGCGGTACGACTACCGGCGCCGCCATCGCTGTTGTTGTCGACGACACATATATTCGCCAATTTCTCAATCAATTGGGTATTCATATAAGTCATTAAAAAATATTTGAAAATGATATGACTATTACCATAGTTTTTMTAACTTATATATACTGTATATTCACTTAAATATTTATTATTATTATCATCTAATTGACAGAAATATTTGTATATACAGTAAAAAATAATACATGAATTTATTATTATTATTATTGAAATATTTTTATCTCAACTCAACTTATATTTTTTACTGATAATATTTATATGCATTAATAAAAATTTATTATTTATTAGTCAATATTAATAATAATATAATTAATTTTTATTCATATTATAATTATTTTATAAATAAATTTATTGTAAATTATAAACATTTATATTAGTTTTTTAATTAAATTATTTGTCATTTATATTAAAAAAAATAACTATATATTTAGCCATAATAATATTTTTAAGCTACCTATTTTAAAAAAAAAAAAATATATTTAAAGTATTATTTATTTTTACTGATTATATTATTTTTTCTTTTCATTGATTAACTATACCGTAAAATCGTGTATAATTTCCCATATGGAATTCAAAAAAAATTGAAAAAAAAATTTTTCATATGGTAAAAAACTCGTATTTTTTACCACATTTGGTAATAATTAAGCACTAAATTATTATACAAAGTAAATAATTTATTTTTTTCATATGGGAAAAAACTCGGGTTATTTCCCATGACTTAGACATTTACATATGGGAAATTAAACACAATTTAACGGTAAGTTATATTTCATATAAGAGACTTATATATCATTAACCAATCAGACAGGCGTTGATTTTACCTCTACATCGTCTGACGTCACTTTATACACAAAAAGCTACGCTAGCTTTGACAGTGCTAAGCATTAAAAAAAAAGAGTGGCCAACTAAACAAAATTAATTTACTGTAATATAGAAAGAAAAATTTAGCAAAAATAATAAAAGTATTTAAAAAATTAATTGAAAACATTATTTTTATATTAAAACTTAAATAATATTCAAAAATAAAATAATAATTACTTTTTGCTTATAATTTAAATTATTCAAAAATTATTAGTTTATAAAATATATGTATTAAATAATAAAATTTTATATGATCTATTAATATGCTATTATAATGCCTATTGTTAACGAAAAACATAATATTTACAATATTTATTATCAAATCTTAAGTTAATTTTAATACCGAATTATAAATAATTATGTAAATTGCATTTAATAAAATATTTTTTAGTTAATTCTTAATAATTGTCAATTATTTTATTTACATATGATTTTTATAAAATTTTTGTTTAAATACAGAATGTAGAAAATTTTAATTAATAAAATCTTATTTTTAAAAAACGCAAATAAATGTTCATTGATAAAAATGATTTTTTACAAAAAAAATATTAAAAAACTGAAATTAAAATATTAATATATTTTTCAAATAAATATACATATTTGATTAAAATTACTTTATAATAAATTATAATTCGGCATCAGTTTATTTAAAATTTAATAAAATGATTTTTTTCTGATTTTAAAGGCAATGTTTATCTATTATTGTTATAGTATTATATATAATAGTTTTCTAGGTCATTATTACTAAAATTTGTATGTTTTTTATTAATTTTTTAATAATTTTTAAAATTATGATTACTATTTATTAATACAGTTTATTTTTTATTGGTTTTGGTAATGCTATTTTGTATATGTCTAATTCAACGCTACCCTTACTATTACATGATATACTTTGATATATTATAACTGACTTTAACTATATATATATATATATAATCTGAAATAATTTGATTTATGCACTTTTATTTTGTTATCTAATGTTTACATGACTACAATTAGCAATACATTAATATAGTTGTATATATATAATAATATTTATTGATGTAACTATACAGTATAAATATATATGTTATTTAATCCAACAATATGTTTTTACAGTACTATTAATACAGTATATTATATTAGTACTATATTACTATAGTTTAGTACATCTAAAACTAATTATTTATTATTAATAAATTAATATAAAAATAAATAATAATAGTTATTTATATTTTTGTCAATTGTTTCATTTTTTTGTTGTTGTTATTGTTGATAATAATAATTTTTTTTAATAACAATAATTGTTTTTTCAAATATATATCATTTATATTATCAAAACTTATACTGTGTTATATAATAATTGTTTTTTTTGGTACTTTATTTCATTGAATACCTAAATATATATATATATATATATATACAGAAAATAATAATAAATATAAATAATACAAATATGTGCGATATATTTGATAAAATTAAAAAATATTTTTCATTACACAATGAAAATACTAATCAAATCAAACAATTTTATTGTAAAACTAATTGTTTATGGTTTACGACAATTGATGACATAGTCTATACAGTCGGTGACAACGATTCCGGTAAACTAGGGTTGGGTCACAACAACCAAACAGTTAATGATAGACAAGAATTAGTGGAATTAAGGGGAAAGTCTATCCGAAAAATTATTACTGGATATGACTTTACATTGTGTATGACTACTACTACTACAACTACTTCAGGTGTTAGTGATGGTAATGATGATAGGGTTGACCAACATATATACAGTTGGGGTTGCAATCAATACAATCAATTGGGAAGGCATATCATCATCACCACCACCAGTGATGATGATGATGATGACGAGTACTACAAACCCGATATTATAACATATTTCAACAATAAAATATATATACTGTATATTCACTTAAATATTTATTATTATTATCATCTAATTGACAGAAATATTTTTATATACAATGAGAAAAATATATGAATTTATTATTATTATTGAAATATTTTTATCTTAACTCAACTTATATTTTTTACTGATAATATTTATATGCATTAATAAAAATTGATAACTTATTAGTCAAATAATAATAATATAATTAATTTTTATTCATATTATAATTATTTTGTAGTGTCTGGTTTGAGATCAGATCACTACTAGAGGGTGATTAAGGAGGCGCCGGTTGTTTAGCGTGGGTCGGTATGAGACCTACAACCAGTTATCTACTTAACCACTAGTATGTTATCACCTGAAGGGTCGTTATGAGACCAATCAAGTGGTATATATGATGATCACTTGCAGTTGTGGTGCCGAAGTAAGGCAGGAGTTGATCCGTACGTACCGATGATGTCTTCCTATCTCTTGATTTACTTGATTGTGGAACTGTAGGCCAATGTTGGGAACAACCGGTTGAGATGTCTTGAGATTCCTGATATATCTTCAACGATCGGTTGGGACAGTAATGGTGATAGCAGTGAATGAATGGTAGTTAAGACACAGTTTCAATTAATAGTACTTTTATTAGTTAAACACAATTAATATTTGATTGAATACAATGGTTTGATTTGAAGTACAGTATTGTAGAGCACATGTATTGAGTGCTATAGTAATGGTATAACTCTATATTGAGTAGTAGGCTAACTGAGAGGTCAGTATGCGCTTAGTATGCGATATGTAGTTACTGTCTGTATGACTGTCTGTCTTACTGTCCAATGTAAGTGTAAAAGCCTACAGTATTTATAGATCTTTTTTGACAACCGGTTGTGTGAGAGAGGACGGGTAGCTATTGGCTAAATTGAATGACTTTTGAACAGTTAGTGGTAGCGGCAGATAACTGTCAGGTCGGCGCCAATAGATTGGAGGCAACAAACGGTTGTTCAGAGAATCGGGTAATAAAATACTGTATATAGTTTAGGGTCTAATTTGAAAATAGAAATATAAATCCAAAAATAGTTGCAAAATAATAGATAAACAAATAAATGATAAAATAAATGCAAAACTAAAAGGTAATAAAAATATTTCAATAAATTTATGCTAATTAAAAGCATATTCACTACACTCCCCGGCGCTTTAAGACTGGTCGCGGAGGTAGTATGGCTCGAGTTGACCGACGTGGACCAGGAATGGATCAGTTGACCGGTTGTATTGTTGTATAGAAGCGTTGACGGGTCCTGGGATAGCCATGACAATGAATGGTCCTTCAAATCTTGCGGACAGTTTCTTGAGATCCGGATGGTTAGATGGAATGCGACGTTTGACGAGTTGTCCGACTTTTAGGTCAATCGGTTTGTGCTGACGATCGTAGGCTACTTTAGCTTTGGCTTTGTGTTGGTCGGTATTATGTTTGGCCTGTTTTCTAGCATCCGTTAGTTCCACTCGCGTATTATGATTGTCATTTCCATACATGAGGAATGTTGGCGAGAAACCGGTTACTGTATGTACCGTGTTGTTGTAGTTCATAGTGACTTCCTTGAGCAAAGTTGTCCATTTGCGTCGCGGATTAGCCACTAATGCCATTGATAATCCTGTTTTGATGGTTCTGTTTACTCGCTCATTCGTGCCATTAGACTGCGGATGATATGTGGATGTATAGAGATGTCTGATATCGTGTTTAGTTAGAAATCTGTAAAAGTCTTTAGACTTAAACGATTTGAAATTATCGGTTAACAGAGAGTCGGGTTTACAACCGGTTATTTTAATTATGTCGCCCAATAATGATATACAAGCAGATGAAGTGTTTGTTGGTGTAGCTTTTGTCCACACGTAACGGGAATGGTGATCAATTACAACTTGTATATACCGGTATTGATTACCGTTTGTCTCTTTACCCATGACCATAGTATCCATTGCAATTAGTTTCATCGGTTGATCGAGAGTAGGCAATGGTTGTAGTTGACCATAGGTTGCATGATTGGATACCTTAACCAATTGACATGTTGGACACGATTTGACGTACTCTTTAATGTCATGTATCATATTTGGCCAATGATACTGTATTTTAATTTGTTTAGTGGTTATCCGTATGCCAGGATGACCACTGTTGTCATGAGCTGTTTCTAGTAGAGAATATACTAGACTTGGAGGGATAATAGTGAGTTTTCGACCATACTTTATAATAGTCTGAAGTGTTTCGGTATCGTTTGATGTGAAAGTTGGTCGATTTTGTGATGAGACAACCGGTTGGTGGTTGTCAGCTGTAGTAATCACTTGTACCGGTTCCTCATATGTAGACTTGAGGTCGGCA